TGATATATATATTTACACATATCTTACACATATCAGGTACCCGATTTTCAGCATTAATACTACACATATCAGGTACATATCTGATATATATCTGCTACCCGATATATTAGTTTTTGACCAGTATACTCAACTTTCGAAGCTTCCGAACCTAAATTTGTTGGATGGACGCGTTCCTTTATTTGAATGCATGACACCTAAGGCCTTTAAAGCCTATTTCCCTATTTTGCGAAAATGACAATTGTTTTATCTATCTCAGCTTGTTACTCCTCAAGGAACTCATTTAATTTCCTGGAAGGCTTACTATGACAACTTGGTTGGACGACGTGGCCCTGGTCGTATCCCTTATTGGTATAAAGATATCCAGCAAGCTACCACTATTCCTGACACCAACAATCGTTTGCTGGCTCAGTTTATTACTACACCTACGATTGACTCTTCATTTTGTGAATTGGCTCCTTGCCTATCCTCTCCTCCCACTACAAAAAATTGGATTGTTACGTTAGATGACTACGGCTCTCCCATTTTTGGCAAACAACTTTTGGTCCAAGCAAGTCGTGGTACTTGTTCTATTGTTCACTGGGTTTCCCCTGATTGCGAATCTTCGCCTGGTGATCTCATTAGACTTTCTCCTTGCCCTGGTTGTGCTGCTCATATTCCTTTGCCTCCTTCCAAAAAACGGAATGCTGATTTAACCCTTTGTACGCCTACGGTATCTCTACAACATTCGCTTATTCTGCCCACCATCAATGAGCGAATTAGACATAATACTTTTGAAGTGACTTCTTCTTTTACTTGGGCTGATATAGAAGATGGTGTCCGTCTTTATTAAAGTCGATTGGATTTTGATTTTGACTCTTCTTCTGATGACATTGTTGAAGCTCTCGCTCCTCCTATCACTATTGAATCCTCAGCTGCTGCTGTTTTTGCAAATTCCCCGTTGGTCGTGTCTTCAGACTCACGTTATATCTTTTTCACTGATGGGTCTCTTATTAATCTAGGCACTCCTGATGTTTCTATGGGCTGGTCCTGGATGCAAATTGTTCCAGATGCTAGTTTTCCTAACTTCATTGCCACTTATGCTCACGGCCTTATACGAGATAATCCTTCTTCTTCTCGAGCTGAAGCTGCCGCTATTTACGCAGTTTTAACCATTTCACCTCGCGACTCAGAAGTTACTATTTATACTGACTCGCAAACTGCCATTGATGGACTTCGAAGTTGCTCTTCCTATGTCTACTCAAATAGCCGTCTTTACTATAAAACAACAAATTTCGAGCTTTGGGCTATTATTGAACGAACCATCCTTTCCAAGAATTTAACAGTTCTTCCTGTCAAAGTTAAAGCTCACTCTGGCAATTATTTAAATGATTTTGCTGACTCCTTGGCCAACACTGCTCACACTGCGTCATCCAGTATTTTGATTTCTGGCATGGACCTTGCCTCTGCCCATGATTTTGTTTTGACTTATGACAACGACGTCGTTTGTGAATCTAACCCGCGACACCTTCTCAAACAATATTATCAAACGCAGTTAATGCGTGAATTGTTAAATTTAACGCGATTTCACTTTACTTCTTTATTATCATCTAATATAGATTATATTGTCGACTGGGAACTTACTTGGTTTACTTTGAATTTCAAGCCCTCTCATGATGCATCTTTTACTATTGAGCATGCTTCAAGACACCTAACCTTTAAATTCAAACTTTTCTTGGATGATTTACCCACATTGGAAAAGCTTAAGCGGACTCGACCAGACTTATACATGGAAGAATTAACTTGCCGTTCTTGTATCGACCACATGGAAGACCTGATGCACCTTTTTATGTGCAAAAGACGTCGCCTACCTATGCAACAAATTCTCCAATCTTATCAAAACCATTTGATTTCTAAAATTCAAGAAGCTGGAAAATTGGCTGATATTGATCCTACTCCATTTATAGTAACACTCACTTCTCTTTCATGCTGGTCCTTTTCTTCTACAAATTGGTCCTCTTATGCCCTTGTCCGTGGTTGTTTACCCAAACTTTTTATTGACTTATTTGTCGATTTATCTATTCCAAGAATCTCCGCGATTAAGGTTATCGCTGCTATTCATAACAATTTTGTTCAGAAATTCAGAAAACGAATTTGAAATCCGCGTTCTTATGAAAAAAGTAGATGGGAAAACGCGATGAATATTACCTATAAGTTGAAAACTACTCCGAAGCCATCTAATTTGCCACTGTCAACGTACATACCTTACTCATCTTTACCTCCTCCGACCCTACATGATTCACGTGACTCCGGAACTGATTGGTTGAAGAACTCGATGAAATATGGTTTGCCTTGGTTTAATCACTTTTCAGGTTTTATGGGTCGTCTAATGGTGCTACTTAATAACAGCTTTTGCAGGATGGAGTGTCGATTTTTATAGTGGGCGCGCTGTTCGTTATTTTGTTAGCATAGTTGCTTCTACTTTGGTTAGAATATATCAAGGGGGAAGATCTGGGGAAATTTAGTGTAATGCGATTTTTCTTTTTTAGATTAATTTTTTTTACTTTATTTTTTCTTAGGAGACTATATAGCTTTGTTTTTAATTAGTTTTATTTTTATATTTTTCTTTTTATTTTTTGTAAATTGTAAAGTTCAAATAAATTTAATAAAGATAAAGGCTACTATGCCACGTTTGCCTAGTTTTTGACCAGTGAAAGTAATACATAGGAGTTAAATTAGATCCTTTTTTAAAGAACAATATAAGAAATTTGTTGTATAATCAAAAGAATAAAAAAGATCATTTAATCATTTAAGGGATAAATTTAATTGTTAAAAATTTTTTAAAGAATTAACGGTAAATACAATATCATGATAATTTGATTGTGATTAAGCTTATAAGAAAAAAGCCTAATTCGACTGATTTTAAGCTATAAAAGTCTAAATTTTGAATTTTTCTCTCTCATCTCTCTTTTCTTTCTCTTTCTCTTAATTTTTTACTTTCACCATGTCTTAACACTGTCTCTTATACACATCTAGATGTGTATAAGAGACAGGTTTATAAGAAAAAAGCTTAATTCGACTGATTTTAAGCTATAAAAGTTTAAATTTTGAATTTTTTCTCTCTCATCTCTCTTTTCTTTCTCTTTCTCTTAATTTTTTACTTTCACCATGTCCCAACAAGAAAAAAAAAAATTACCAAAGTTTATAAATATCTGTCTGAAATTACTCCTGTTGCCACCGCAGCCATCACTAGCAAAAGAGCTTCTGAAATTTCTGAAATTACTCCTGCTACCACCACTAGCAACGAAACTACTTCTGCGCCTGCTACCACTAGCAAATCGACCATTACTTCAAAATTAAAAATTCAGCATATGAAAGAACAATATAAAAATTTCAAGGTTCTAGATTCCTATTTAGAATAGCAAAAGGATCTTCACCATAATTTAGACCTTTATGATGATAATCCATCTTTGGAAACTGGTATAATTGTAACAAAATTGCTAAAATTGGTTGCTATTTTGGTTGCTTTACATTGAAAGTTTGTTTGTTTTCGAATTTGGTTAATAAATTTAGAAAATCATAAATTACGTACGATAATAGCCAATTTGCGTAATAAAAACACGAAGTTGGAAAAAACAAACGTAGATATTTCTAAGAAATTAAAAGGCTTAAAAGAGGATTTCAATATGCTTATGGAAATTAACGATGCATTCGGTACAGAAAATGAAGAATTAAAAAGAAAAATCAGAGCAAGTGAGATCGATGATATCGAATCCAAGCATCTTTCTAAAAAAGCTAAGGGCAAAAGAAGCGTAGTCCAAATAAATGACGATGACGATAAAGACGAAGATGTTGATGACGACTTGATGGATTCCAAATCAAATGCAACCGAAGAATTACCCAAAGAGCCTAACGAAAGAGAAGCAAGGGTTTGTTGAGTTTTGACAATCATATTTGATACTAATTTTTGCAACTGATTTCAATACTAATTTCATTTTTTATGATAATTTACAAATTTTTATTAATTTAACACAATTCATATACTACTAACTTTACGAATTACTAATTTTTTACAAATTTTTATTAATTTAACGCGATTCATATACTAACTTTTACGAATTACTAATTTTTTACAAATTTTTATTAATTTAACGCGATTCATATAATAACTTTTATGAATTACTAATTTTTTACTAATTTAACGCAAATTCGTATACTAACTTTACAATTACTAATTTTTACTAATTTCAACACAAATTCATATACTAACTTTTACGAACTACCAATTTTTTATTAATTTCAATAACTAACGTTTTTGGTTCCACAAATTTATACTGAATTTTCTACTAACATATCTGTTTGTTGCTAATTTTATTATTTAATAATACTTTCTTTAATTTTTCTTTTTCTAAATATCAATTAGATCGAAATGAAATCAATCTTAAAAACACTTAATGAGAAATATAACTTAAACTACAATGAAACATTTAACAGTGCAAAAAACATTAAAATTTGACGTAAATTAATTCCCAAAATTCGAAAATCACTTGCTCCGAATTATCAACTATCCTTTAACCAGGTAACAAGGTGGTTAAGTAGCCTACATAAATCTCGACGATCTAAGTTGAGTTTGAGGATATCCGGTAAAGAAAGCATAGACAATCGACGAGTTCATGCCAACAATAGATTAAATGATGTATGTAATGTAATCCAGCGGCAAATTAATAATCCATATTAACTCATTTTAAAATTATCAATCAGAAAAAATTGCGAAGGATAAAGGCTGCGAAAGATCTCTTTAATAAAAAGGATAGCCGAATTACGAGTTATGAAAAATAGGATCTGTTAAAAATTCTGGCAAATCGTGCATATCATTCACCGGAAGTGAGTGAAACCGAAGATGAAAGTTCAAAATCGGTCATTAATGTTTATGATCTATCGTGGCGCTTAGAAAATGTTACTTATTTTATCTTGATTATTTATTTTGCTATAAATTTTTACTAATTCCGATTTTACTTATTTTCACTAATTCCAATTTTACTTATTTTTACATTTTCCAATTTTATTTATTTTTACATTTTAGTTGAGACTTTTATTAAGAAAATGTTCTCAATAAATATTTAAAAGTGGAACAAACGGCGCAGCAATTGCGATCTCGGAATTATGATAACGAGATACAATGCTATGATAAAGTATCACCAGATGATGCTCCCGATTGGTCATATATTGATCAACCGGATATGTTATATGACACAGAATATACAGACGATTTAAATATTGATGATGAAGATTTAGATGCAATTTTGGAAGATAAAGCGGATAAATCAGAAAGTTTTATGCAAGAAGATTAATAGTTGGAATTTCAGAATTCTATTTTATTACTAATTTACTCTTTTTTTAGTTTTGCATATTATAGTATGTTTTATTACATATCTGAATTAATTTTACTCTTTTTTTAGTTTTGCGTATTATATTATATTATATTTTTTATAGCATATATGAATTTATTTTACTCTAATTTTTAGTTTTGCGTATTATAATATATTTTATAGTATATCTGAATTTATAAATTGAATTGTAATTGAATTATATCTGAATTATATCCGATTTATATAATAAATTTAGTTGATTTATGTCTAATTAATAATGTCAAATTTAGTAGTATTTGTTGATTTATATCCGATTTATATCTGATTTCTTATTCTGAATTATATCTGAGTGGCAACCACTCAGAACCCAAATGGAATATTGCCTTTTTAAAAAAATTGGTCAAAATTGAGTTATAAATCAGATTAAAATCAGATGATCGATTTCTATTTGATTTGAACTATTTCAACTAGTGTATGTATGGTACCTAGGCATATTCTCAAAATGTTTATTAACTATTTGCTAGAACAGAAGTGTCAAGTAATCTGTTGTGAAGACGATGCTCAGCCTCCACCATTCTTTGGAGAGATGCCTCATAGCTAGTTAAAAGAGCGAGCTGATTATTATGAGGAAGTCTTGACTGACTATTGGGCTAAATGTCTTAGATTACAAGAGCTTAAGAAAAAAATGCGATGGCAAAATAAAAGAGTGCAGTCAAATCTATTCCGTGAAGCACTTCTGGTCACAGAAAAATGGAAATATCTTGAAGGTGAATGGAAGCCATCAGATCATATCTTATCAGCACACCTACTTTCCCGAAGAATTGCTTCCCAAAAATGCTTAGAACTTCATCAGGCAAAATATCCTAATGTGCCGATCCCATTAATCTATAGGTCAAGAGATGGACGTAAACAAAATTGCCTTGTCCAGATTCCCGGCTTATCCGAAAAAAAGGAACTAGTGAAAAATGATATAATACACTTACCCTTAAATACACTTCCTGACAAATTCTTAAAAGATGTGTTAGCAGACAAAAAAGTCATAGATTGTGAGCTTGGATATGCTATGAAAATTCACACTAGTTAAGGAATGACTCTCAAAGCTCTACAGCGTGTTTGGGTCATTGATGAAAACCTAGCTTGGGATAACCTAATATATTTAGCAGTTGGTTGTGTGGAATATTTAAGTCAACTCATTCGGGTTGAGGCGCCTCCATTACCTCCTGAAATTGCCCAAGAGATTGAGGAGGCAAAAAAGAATAGATGGCTAGAGCATGAATTGAGATCATCTATTCAGGAAAAACTTGTCAGATATATGGGCCAGGATAAGGAAAAAGGCCGTGAATTCGATCTAACAGTTGACTATATCCTTACATTAAAACGTATTCAAGAAGACAGATGTGCATTATGTCTCATAGAAATGAAATTTGAATGGGATCGGCCAGGAGATATATCCCAGTGGACAGTAGATCGAATCCACAATAGTTTGGGGCATATCAAAGGGAATGTACGCCTCACTTGTCTACTTTGCAACTGAAATCATCGAGTCTAAGTCACTGCCATGGCTAGACTAGTGATATGGTGCATATATGCAAGTCGGAGGAGGCAAATCACAGTATTTACATAATTATTAGATTTTTTTTTTCTGGCATGATAAATATTCAGTTATAGAATAAATCACTAAAATGACAACTGGTATAGTGGGTTTAAAGGATAGGATTGTAGGCGTGTTCGATTATCCCGAGCTGAGTGAATATCTGGGAGTTCGATCCAACTAGTCCGGAGCGGTGATCACCAGCTCGGAAGAATTTGCTGGGCCACTCCTGTGCGACAGAAAAATAGGATCATCAGTCAGGTCTTGTGCGACATAATAATTTTCACATATATTCTAAAAAGAAGCTAACTAGTACCTCTATTTTTTTCCCGAACAAAATGTGAAAGGAGGTCTAGTTACAACACAGGACCAACTCCAAAAGTAAATAGTTACGGTAAAAGCATATGTTATGAAAGGCTGAGGAATTTGGAATTTCGAGATCTACAAGAACTAACTACTTTTGCGTCTCTCCGGTAGATCTCCATGTGAAAAGGTATGAAGATTCCATTTGCATGTGCCTTCAAAGAACTCTTGGCATCATACGACAATACTAATCACTATTCTTATCTCCTTAACTTCGGCTTGGCGCTCTTTTTCCCAGCAAGATATAAAGCATGTAGAGGTATGTGGAAGTTCAGCCAACTTTCCGCAAAAATAATTGAGGTATGTATATGCCAGAAGTCATGTTTACTGCAAGCGATAATTTCTCACAACGGGCCCTTACATTCCAGAAAACGAAAATATGGCCAATATTACTCTCAACTGCCTTATAATTCCCACCGGTCGCTTCACTGGAATTCCAAACAATAATGTCACTCTAATAGTTACAATCCCTCTTGGAAATGCGGTCAGAAACCTCCACACTCAGATTCAGCAACTGCTACCACAGCCATTCAGAAACGTTCCATTTTATCTTCGCGCATATCGCCTTGGACCTGTAAAATACGTTGCTATGCGAGAAGGGAGCTTGATTTCTGATTTTTTCGATGAGAATCTCACTGCGGACGTTTGCCATATTCTTGTAGAGGAGGATGTATATGGTTATTATAACTAGTATGCGATATAGTCGCAATTTTTATGTATTGTAGGCCGGGTTCCGGCAACGTTTTATTTCATAAATAAAGTATTATTTTATCGAACGTATATGAGAAACGGGTCACGTGTGATGATGCAATGCCTGTGCTACATAAAAACCTATATTAATGGCCAGTATTCTCTTTCCCATCCCAGAAATAAAATTTTATCTCACTCCGGAAAGTAACACTATTTTTTTGTCCGAGCCAAATATCCCTATAAAAACGTAACACTATGTCTGAAACTAGTACACCTTATACTCCAGCTTCCACCATTACCTTTGGTAATAATGAGACGGTCTCGCTGGCTGACGAAATTAAAAAATATGACACGGCCAAGCTTATAGAATATTTGCGGGAACAGAACCTAAACCTTGTGAAGGATGACTTTGATATAATCGAAAATGAGAGAGTGGGTGGGCAAGACTTCTTCGACTTGACTCAGGAAGAGCTTGAGCGACATGGAATGAAATTGGGGCCAGCTAAGAGACTCGTGAAGTTCGCTAAGGAGTGTAAAGATAAAAAGTTGAGGTCGTTCTCCTCGTACAAGACTAAGAAAGAGTTGAGTGAGGTGTTGGAGAAATATGGGATTGTTAGCGGGGATATAACTCGCATTCCACAGTTCATACCACGTAAGTAATATCAGATTAAAGGAGTTCTTTTTTATATATTTCGAGCTCACATATCATAATATAGCCATCCACACTATCAACGAAAGCGCCCCCGAATTTAAGCTATGTATTGACGACATCCTTCGTAGAATAAAAAATATGGGTCCAGTTGTAGATAGTAACGAAGCTATGCGGTGCGAGTATATTTCAACGATCTTACATACGGCTGTAAGTATTCTCGGCGACTTGGTAATCACACCTCAGGCAAATATAATTGGTGAAGAAAACACAGGCCGTGTCGACTATGCCATCAAAAAAATTATCAGCGAGATGCTGGAGGAAATAATTTGCATAACCGAAGGCAAACAGAATCAAGCAACTATAGGTATCTGCCAAAACTTACTACAATGCCGAAGTGCTTGCGATGTAAGTATAACAG